GTAATCAGTCATCACCGTTGTGTGTACTTGTAATTAAGCCAAATAGGCAGGCAATCCGACTGCGTCAGATCTTTTATTAGGTAATTTTTGAACGGTTTTGGTTGTAAAATAGCATATATATAATATCATAATGATGAAATAATAATTACCAATAAAATATATACGTATCTAGCCATCAGACCAGGAATTTATTTCGTCAGACAGTCAACACTTCGACAATCGTCCTTTTGTTCATAGTAGTTATCAGTTATTATTTACTGTACAGTATCCACGCGCTACGCCTAATTAACATAATTAATTTTATAAGTATTCATTATTGTTACGATCTGATAATAATTTAAATTTAGCTTAAAATTTTAGTTAAATGGTAATTAAATATTAATTAAGCGACAACAATATAACACGAATATTATGTTGTACTTTTTTAATAAATGAATCGAGATAAAGTTGATGATATGACGTAGCCTTGGTAATATTTTGGTAGTCGAAATAACACAGTTGTATACGCAAGGTAGTCGAGTTAATCCGGAAGTACCTAAAACTGTATGAATATTTGGATATTCTGTTCTTCTATTGTGCTATTGTAGTTACTTTTGTTGGTAGATACCTACATTAGTGACTTTACTATATATTACATATTAATTATTATTTATACACTATAAGAGGCAGGTGCTTACTTAGACTGTCAATATTGTGTACTCTTGGTTATAACTATTTAACTACATTTAATAACTTCCTATTAATTCATATAACGATATGCTTACTTTTTATTTTACTATACTATGAAAACCTATACATACATGATACATACATGCATGCATAAGCATAAGTTATAACCCAGTAATGTCGCACCATTATAAATGTACAAATTACAATAACTAATTATTTAAATATCAAATATAATATATGTGATATTATAATTTGTAAGACATTAAATAAAAGGTAGGTTCATAAAATAAAAAGTTACCATATGTTAACCAATATAATGTGCGTAAACATTACCTTTAATACTTACTATTACTATTGTTAATAATAGTTTGTACCATAACAATTTTAATAATAAAACAACCAACTTACTTCCATATGGATTTCTATACAGACAGTCACTTGCGTTAATGTTAATATTATATATTAATTGTATAATTAAATTCTCTATTAATTCTTATTTTATAGACATTATTATTGAAATTAATAGGTGTATCATACTAATGTTTTGTATTAATTAGGTACAGAATGAAAGCTATAATTGTGAATTAAGTATAAAATTCACCACTCAATAACCGCTCGGATAGACCACTAATAATTTAAAATAAATATTATATGAAATTAATTTATAAAAGTCTTAAAATTAATAAATAATATATTATACATGTTATGTAGATGACATAAAATGGCAGTAGATATATGTAACCAAATGTAATATATAATATTAACACAAAATAATAATATTAAAAAAACACATGCAGGTACATAAAAATGAAATATGATGTATTATAACATAAATGTAAAAGTATCGGTTGTACAATGTATTATTGTTTTTTCATCACCTCATATTCCTCACATATAGTTTTTATGTACAAACATTCAATAATACATACACAATGTATAAGTGTATTGAGTACAGACTGCTAACATGTGGCGATCATATACTTATGAATATGTGTATACTTAGTAAATAATTTACAAAAACTACATCAATATTTTATTCAATATATAGTAACAATCTATCAATGTTATTCACTCCTGGTGTGCCAACTGCCTAAGTAGCTACATTGAAAAATCATAATTTACTAACTATTATTATAATAAAACAAAATAGTTAGAAATTAAAAATTTTCGTGAAAAAAAAAACTCCAAAATTTCAGCCAGCTATGCTATTAAATGGGCAAGCCTGTCAAGCGCCGGCCTGAGCGGCTAATGCCAAGTATCGAACTCTAGCCTATCATCTACCTACGTCTGGGGGACCTACGCCTAACCAATTAACCTACAGTTTAGGTTGACGTCTTCTGTTAAAACTACAGCACTTAAACTATTTCTCCGCTGTGAAGAATAATGCATTACATATTAAATAACATATTCAATTTGTATGAACGCAGTAATTAAACATTAAATTGCATATACAAACGTTTTCGTTATGTGTATACCATTTTTCTTATCAATAATTATATAAATATTGTACCCTATTAGGTATTTATACACTATTTAAATGTAATTAATAAAGTTAACTATAGAGATGTCTCAATAGCACACTTATAAAATTTCTGATCTGTATTGTTTGAAAATAAAATAATTTTTGAAATACTTACAAATTTTTATGTACACTTAGTACATCATTATATCATATTGTTCTGTTCTGTATAAGTATAATAAAATGTATATAAAATATAGTTTATTTATTAATGTATATACATTTTATTATTCAATATACTCATATACTGTACAATGTAATATAGGTGCATACATATATTATTATTGCGTCAACGTTAAGCAATATGCAATTGAACATTACTCATTAAATGCAGAGTACTAATTGCAAAATAAAATCCAGTATTTTATCTTAGCAATAATGGTTATTTTAATATACCATGTATATTGAATACTATGTAAGGTAGGTAAATGTATGAAAATAAATTATAATATGCAGTTTACATGTAAAAAAATGGCTGTTCATATCAATGAAATCTTACTAATTTAATTTAATTATCATAAAAGTTAGAAAATTTGTGTACCTAACACTTGTATTATTATATAATTTAACTACCATTAATAAACTCTTAATAAATAATATATTTACAACTAATTATAATATAATATACTCTCTGTGTAGTGCACACAATACAGTTGTGTACTTATATTGCATTGAATAATTACACAATTCGTGTGCTTAATTAAATATTTAATGATAACAAATATGTAGTGCCACTCATGGTGTACCTAAATAGCTATTTATTTACCTCTAGTCACTCTAAAAAAGTATTGTAATACACTGTAGTATTCAAACGTCTTCGATCCTGTAAGATTCAGCTTAAATATAGGTATATTATGAATAAGGGTTAGTGTATTATGAATAAAAAGGACAAAACAACGAATATAGTATTATGGATTAATTTATATTAAAAAAAAAAAAAACAGAGAAACAGCTTTTAATATAGTAAATCCAGGTTGTGCGTGGAAACGAACATCACTACTTATGACCGATAACCTAAAACATGTTATAGTATAAACTACGATCAAATCAAATATATTACCTACTACACTTTCTACAGTTTGAAATAATAAAATTTGAATGGTATACTTTGAGTTCTTCACAAATATCGCATTAGACATATTAATATACGTGTATAGAAGGTCAGTCGTCCGCGTCATTTCTTAACGCGATTGCGAAGCGTACGAACCGATTTCGAGTAAAAATCGCATATGTACATCTTTTAAAAGGAGTTTTCTACGCGATTCGGGCACAAACGGTGTACGAAAAGACAAAACCGATCGAGAAAAAACGAAAAAAGGGAGAAATACGTGCGACGTAGTGAGAGAGGGCGGTACTGTTTTCGATCGAGATTGCGATCGTTATTCGTTACGGACTAACAACGAACAAAACCCGAACACGCACGGATTTAGGACTTTTTATAGAACACTAATAAAATACGAACGGAGCCCAAAAAGGGTTTAAATCGGAAGAAACCTGGTAACAAAGGCAAAATTTTGACGGATTTCGAAAAAATACTTATATTCGACAGAAAAATGTGGTTGTGATAACAGAAACGTGATAACAGCGGCGGCAGCGATCCGATTGGATCTTCCCTATTACACTGATAGCTGTTTGCACCAATACTACTTAAAAATTAAGGGTAGCTTAAGTCTAACTCACGATGTAAGTAAAACCATGGCTAAATAGTTAAAAGAGAAAATCTTCAGGAATCTTTTTCAAAAGCTTAGTTATTATTTTTACGTCAATAGTATTAAATAGTATTATAAATTATAATATTATAAAGTGCACATTTAATTATATTTATTATAAATTTGAATGAATATTGAATACTGAAGTCTGAAATTTTAAAACTTAACCGCGGATATTACGCAAAACGGCATTACAATACGGCCTTCTCTATAGCAGCCGGTTGTTGATTGGCCTTTTTAGCGCGCAAGCCAAAGTGCCGTCAGATATGGACACACTTTTGAGCTCGAGGGACTACACCGTTATCTACATCGTGGTCTAATTTAAAACTTAAGATTGTTGCACCATCATTTAATGTCAACTTAAATTTTTTTAAGTGAGGTTTAAACTAAACCAACATTCCACTGTGTCTTAATTATATTAAGCGTTACTTATTAGTAGGGCTCGGATTTATATGTAAATACATATTTTTACTGTGACTTGATAAATTAATTTAGGTAAGTGATAAATTCGTTTCAAGGGATTTCCAATAAAATGAACTATATTTTATTTTACATATTTTTACATATTTTGCCATAAGTACATGTTTTTACATATTTCTCAATAATTCCATTTTTCCTACATATTTCGACAATTTGTTCATTTACGATTTATTATTTATTAATACAGACTTGCCCATGTTTCCAAAAGTACAAAATAATACCAATTTTTAAACTTAATCTAATCTACTGTCGATATATGTTTGATATTTATGACCTCATAAAGATAATGACAAGTTTTGACAGTCCTATAACATCAGCCGAAGTTGAGAGATCTTTCAGTCGATATAAATCAATTTTACGACATAATCGGCGATCTTTCGAATTCGAAAATTTAAAAATGCATGTTATTATTAATTGTAACCATAATAATTAGATAGTTAGATAAATATTTTTTTTTATTACATTTCATTTTAATTAATAAAAATATTTTTTTTTTTTGACAATACATATTATAAATTTTTTAGCACATATATTTATGTACATAATTTTGTTTTTTGATAATATATATTATACATTTTTTAGCACATATTTATGTACATATTTTTGTTGTATAAATACATACTTTGGTTAAATAAATACATATAAATCCGAGTCCTACTTATTAGTAAATAATTGTTTAGTGTTTTCTCATTTGTTATCATTTACTTTATGAGATCGTCTGTTTCGTGTTATTAATTAATTATAATAAATTTAAATTAAATTATTAGTGAAATGGAACTTCAAATAGATGAAATTGTGTCAATTTTAGATATTTTAACTTTTTTGGGTGATGACGAAGACAAATTAAATTTTTTAAATTTTGGTATTCCAAGACAAATTTATGATAGAACAAACTATTTTAATACATTAGATGAAGTTAGTTTTCAACGTCGCTTCCGTTTAAGTAAAGAGGCAGTTTTATTTCTACTTAATTTGATAGAAAAAGATTTAGAATATCCAACAAATAGGTAAGTTTAATTAAATTTTGTTTGTAGGTATCTAAATCATACCTATTTACAACATGGTATTAATATGTATAGGTTATTTTGTTCTAGAAATCAATCAATTGCCCTAGTAAATCAAATTTTATGTTTTTTAAGATTTTATGCTACTGGTAAGCATTTAATAAGTATTGCAGATTTTATGGGATGTCATGTATCTACAGTATCCAGAATAGTGTATAGAGTAGCAAGAGTAATTTCTATTCGGTAAATTTACTTTATGGTATATTGCACATAGGTAACATTCATATTATGTATTTATTAAAATCCCAGGTGTAAGAATTTCATTTCAATGCCTAAAACCGACATTGAAATAGCATTGATACTGCTAAAGAATTTTATAATATAGCTAAGTTTCCAAAAGTCATTGGCGTTATTAACATGTTAAAGTACAGTCATTGGGTAAGTATTAATGAAGAAATGTATATTGAGTGTAGGTTGAGGTTGTTTATTTATTATTAGTTATTACCTTTGCACTAATTTCGGTTTAATTTTGTTGTTCTTATTGGTTAAGTGAATATACTCAATAGGTACTTGTCAGAAAATAATTATTTCTATCAGTAGTAATAACCAATATTTTCTTTTAGGTGGCCAAAATGCAGAGATATATAGAAACAGAAAAGGTTATTTCTCTGTGAATGTGCAATGTGTATGTAGACTGTAGAGCCAATTTGACCATAGCAAATGTTGTAGCACATTGGCCAGGCTCTGTGTATGACTCAACTATATTTAATAATTCTAGATTGCACACGGAATTTGAAACAAAAGTTTATAGAAACTAAATCATGTTAGGTAAAATAATAGCTATCATCAGCTATTAATTATTATCATTAACATGTGAATATGTGTACTTATATGGCTATATACATGAATATTTTTGTTATGTATAGGAGATAGTGGATATCCCTTATTAAACTATTTAATTACTCCATTATTACATGTAGCTACAGCTAATGAACAGCTTTACAATGAATCTCATATCCGTACAAGAAACTATTGAAAGATGCTTCGGTATCCTAAAAAGAAGATTTCCAATTCTTCCTTATTGTATAAGACTACAACATATTGATGCCATTATGGCAGTTATTACATCAACATGTATCTTGCATAATTCTGTTCAATGACCAAGTACAAGACAGTATAGACCTAGAAGACCCTCAACATTTGAATTTAGTTATAAATAGTAAGATAAACAAGATAAATTCATATTACCATTTCCTAAATATATTAAAAATAATAACACATTATATTTTAGTTTGATTTAAAATGAAAGCATATCTACTGTATTCATTTAAAAATAAGAAATTAAAATAATATTTAAGGTTAATGGTTATAGATTTTGGAAATTTATAATGCAATTTACAACAACTATATCAAAAACAGACAATTTTTATTTACCAAAATTATATGAATTATTTAACAATTAATAAATTATTTATTTATTAACCCAATACTGTCTTAATGTAAAATATTTAGGAGAAAAATAACAGGTCAGTATATGTATCCATATAGTTTATACTTAAGATAAAAAAAATATAATACTTCAACTTGATAAACTATAAATCTTAATATTAATTATATGAAATATAAATATTTGATGTATGAATTCTTATAATTATAATTATTATACTATATGAATTATTTAAAAATTAAAGATTAACAGAGACAAATACATAAATGTTGGTAGATATTAGATAACAAAATAGCAATGTTATTGAAACGGGATGCATTTGTGTGTGATAACTAAAAAAATATGTACTTACTCGGTACTTTCCATCATAATTTAGGAATAAATAGTAATTACAGATTTACACTTTACAGAAATGACAGTTCAAACATCATGAGCTCATACCGGCTAACCGCTAAATAAGGTTATTATCAACAAAATAATTACATGAAGTTGTGTTCAATATGATGATACCGGAATTAAGTATTACTTTGCTAAGTTTTATTTTTATCGAATGGTGAAACTACTTTTAAGTAGCAATTAGTTTAAGGAGAACTTAGCACTAAGTAGAACTTAGTTAAGAAGTAGTTAAATTGTGAATTGGTGCAAACGGCTAATAATAGCATAACCTAACCCTACATACACATATGGGAAAATCTAATTTTTCGATTGGATGCTCTCCGAAAATGACTGAGCGGATAAAACCACAACTATTAAGCGTTTTACAACTAGTGATGGGCAAATTCCCGGGAATATATTTTTGGGAATTTCCCCGGGGATATTCCCGGGAATATTCCCAACACCGGGAATTTCTCGGGAATATAATAAGTTTTTAAATATTGATCATAATTTTCAGTTTTAAATTAAACTTATGGTTGTAAATGATCCAAATTACAGTTCTTTACTGATATTATTTCAGTTTAGATTTTTATTATTTAAAAAAATATTACTAAGTAACTATAATTTCATTTTTAATTAAAATTTGTACAATGATCACAAAATTAATTATCCAACTTTAATTTTATGTTAAAAAATGAAAATAAACATACTGAAATACTGAATAACTTTTACTCATACGTCATGTAATGAATAAAATAAAAATATACCTAGACTTCAGTCTCTTTGTTTAAATCACTTTAATATAATAGTAAAATAGTACCCTTAATTAACAGGTACTTTAATAATTATAATGTTATAGTAAAACAAAAAAAAAACAATCAATAAAATATCCAAACTACTTGTATTGAAATAAAATGTAAACATAAATACACTAATAAGTAAATAACGTTTTACTAATAAATGTAACAAATAAAATAAAAATATAACTAGACTTCAGTCTCTTTGTTTAAATCACTTTAAAATAATAGTAAAATAGTACCCTTAATTAATATTTTAATAATTATAATGTTATAATAAAACAAAAAGAAAACAATTAATAAAGTATCCAAACTACTTATATTAAAATAAGTTGAAGCATATAAAAACACTAATAAGTAAATAACTTTTTACTAGTACATTAATTAACAATATAAAATAACAGACTAGACACGTGGGTTTCAATCTTTTTGTTTCAAATACTCATCAAAAAAATCATCATCACTATCCTTCCACTCTACTTCATTGGACGAAGTTGAATCGTTACTTGACATTGAACTTTCATCTGATATTTTTGATAGATCAACAGTATTTTCATCAATTTCATTGGGTTCAACTTCAGGTTCAGTATAATTGACTTTTTTGTTTTTTTCTACAGTTTGTCTCCAATAGTGGGCAACAAAAGTTATTTTTGAAGCATTTGATGTGGTTAAACGGTTCCTTTTTTTGGTGTGGATATTTGAAAATGTACTAAATGAACGTTCAGTGGCTGCTGATGTAGCTGGTACACTTAATACTTTATTTGCAATGACACATAAATTAGTACTTGAACAAAAACTATTCCACCATGTTAAAGGCGTTACTTTCTCCACACATTTCCAAATAAAATAGTTGCTCCATATATCTTGCCGAGTTCTGTAATTTGCTATATCAGCTAATATTTAAGAAGCATCCATCTTATAAGAGTCACTTAAGTTATTTTGAGCAGATATCATTTGATCAATAAACTCAATAGACTTTAACACTTCTGAATTAGATAAATTACAACCTTGAGTTTTAGGGTCTAATAATGATGCAGCTAAATGTAAAGGTTTAATAGTATTCAAATGTCTTTCTTTAAATGTATTCACTATTATTTTCTCTTCTCTAATAGTCATAAGTGATTCTGAGAAGGAATCAGAAAAATTATTTTTAATTTCATAAAATGCATCAAATACTTGATTAATTGTAATACTGTCGCCTTCTAAAATTGTTATCCATTTTACTATAGGGTTCATTATATCAATAAGCTTATCAACTTTAGTCCAAAATACAGCATCATCTAAAATCAATTGTTTTCGTTTTGATCCTAACATAGTCGAGCCAACTGGATGAACAGCCAATGTTTGTAATGACATTTTACATACTTTCATGGAAGTTAAACAAAATAAATTTGAACCCCATCTAGTTTTGACTGGTAGAGTAAGTGTTTTGCTACATAGATTAATTTGTCTTATTGAATCAAAATGAGCATTTAAAATTTGACTTTTCTTAATTGCCTTAACAATATCAACCACCTCAGTTATAAATGTTGAAACACTATTACATTTTAATAAATCACTAATTATTAAATGTAGTGAATGAGCTATACAGTTCAATGATACAATATGTGGAAATTTATCTTCAATTGATTTCCTAGCCTTTAACATATTTGCAGCATTATCTGTTATAATGGCAATAAATTTTCTGTTGTCATATTTGTTTATAACCTTTTCAATTTGCTCAATAATATAATCTGAAGTGTGATTAAAATGTACTGTTTCTACTGATGAAATAAAATATGGTTTTGGTGTACAAATAATAAAATTAATTATACCTTCATTGCGGATATTTGACCACCCATCGCACTGCAATGATAAGTACTTTGACTGAGCTTTCAACAATAGATTTAACTGTATTATATTCATTTTCCAATAATGAAGTAGACAATGTTTTACGAGAAGGAAGCTGTAATGATGGTCTCAGGAACTTAAAAACATCAATCCATAATGGGTGCTCAAGCATTTGCAAAGGGCAACCGCTTGCTATAATTGCTCTTGTTAATTTTTCATTTGATTTAATCTAGAAAATTAAACCAATGTACAAGTTTGAATATCATTTACTCACATAAGTACATAACTAAGTATTTATAATTATTTAGTCTGGTTTATTATACAAATATATAATACAATTAACTTTTAAACAAACCTAATTATTTGATTGTAATTTGTAACTATATAATTTTCTTATTAGTTTTGAGTGTTTTGACATTTGGTAAGGTTGCATTTGCAAAATTGTATTAACTTTTAATCAATAAATTATATTTAATTTTTATGATTTGAATACATTTTAATAGTCATCATAACTACTGTATAGGTATTAAAAATAATTGTATAAATTGTAATATAACCAGTATAGGTACCTACAGTTTGTACGATATTCATTATACCAATATAAAAATGGTATTACAATTTTTTTTTATTTTTTTATCTCTAGTTACTAAACAAAACTATGATTTAGTTTGCACATTTGTATTTACCTGATCAGAAGCATCCATTTTATCAACAAAACTCAAAATTCCTTTTTTCGTATTTCTTACTGTTAAATTCAGGTGAACATTTTGTACTATGGTACTTGAACTTGATGTAGATGGCAACATTTCATTTTCAACAGGTTTAGTGGCATCTATATAATTTTCGTTTATTTCTGATAAATTATCCACATAATCATTACCTTCTATACTATGTAATTGTAATGTATGTGTATCTTTAACTGGTTTAATTTTCTTTATAACTTCGGATGGGCAATTTTTACAGTTTTTTATTAAATGCATGATCATTTTAGTGGCATTTTTACAAGAATATTGAAATTTGCAATAACAGCATTCAAATATCTTTTTGCCTTTTACAGTTTTTTCTAGGTAATATGACCAACATGCCAATTTCTTTTTACCACCAGGCATTTCAACAAAAAATTTGATTAGCAACAAACAAATAACGAACTTTATATAGGTACTAACACAATATACACTAGATTTAAACACAACAAATTGTAACACAAATGTTAGTGAAGTGTGAAACAAAAAATTAACTTACACTTTACAGTACTATAATAACAGAAATTAAAAGTATAAAACTATGTAAATTATTCTATAATCAATTTTAATCTAATATATTGCTTATCAATATTATGTTGGTCAACAAAGCAGTTTAGCCAATTGATGTGAACAAAACACACTAATTAATACTGTTACTCTAGTACAGAGTACAGCTTATGTACAGTAGTATAGACTGTCATTCTATTCCCACTCAATTTTTTTTTTTTTTTGGGGAAATCTCTCGAGAGGCTGGGGAATATTCTGGGAATATTCCCTGTTCCCGGGAACATTCCTTGGGGAATATTCCTAGTGGCACATCACTATTTACAACACAAGAGAAGACTACTTCCGTGGCACGGACTAAGATTTACTGGACTGGTATCGATATGGTTGGGGGGTAGTAGAGGAAGGGTCCTCAAATGTTTCGACACCGGCACTCCCCGCATCACAATGGTTAAAAGGTACAACTAGGGGTAACAGCGTTCCCAATAACAAATAAAGAGTAACATTGTTTATTTAGATGTTTACTATTTTGAATAAATTTTGGTCACGAATATTAAATTTTAACACTATGCAATGAGTATATTATTTTGATTATAGTGTTTTTATAACACATTTATAGATGGCGCTTTTATCCACAGTTGTACCTTACGGCGGCTTTAGAAACATTTGAGGGCCACTGATAATTTAGTCCATACCAGTCCATTATATCTTAGTCCGGGACCCGTGTCTGTGGTCATTTTTCTAACCTAACATTAGTGTGAGCTTGTTAGTTGTTCGTTTTCAAAAGAAGTTAAACAAATACCAATTCAAAATGTCTTCCCACAAAATAGTAAGTATTAACACGATTAATTTGTACAATTCGGTAGGTGAATAAACTACAATTATTGTAATTCAATATCACCGAAGACGGAACTTCTTTATAATGTATTATAGACACGAACCACGGAACTGAAATAAAGTTTTATTTAAACTCATGACCGCATCCCTGGTCGGTGCGATTTTTTTCGCATTTAAGTGTTTTTCATCGTAAATTTGGTATTCACGGCGCCGTCTTCAATCCTGTTTGTTTACTTGTTTTATTTCAATATCGAGCACTATCATTGATTTCATAAAAACCTTATACCTACCTACATCTCGTAAAACATTCAGCATTTTGAAAACAGCATCAGATCTGCTTACCCATCATGGCATCACCCATGGAGTTATTGTCCCATGGTCGTTGTGTCGATACTTCGATAGTACCAGAAGTAGTGATACCATTCATAAAACTATTTACCTCAAACATGAAATTTGTCTCCATCATGAACTCATCTCAGAACTATGACAATTATTATGATTATCATTAATGTTGATAACATTTGACACGATAAGTTTACTGATTTCTGACAATTAACTGATTTTATTAGTCAATAATCGTGTGATTCATATAAATCAAATATGGATCGAGCACAAAAAGTGTTGCCTCTTGTTTATGTAATTTAATATTACTAGAGTTGATTAAAAATTATAATATTTGAATATGAACTATTTGGTATACATTTAAATTGTATTACCTAATTTTAACTCCCAATAAATACTAAAAAAATGTCTTGTGTTACAGGATGAACCTGCAGTGAGTTCTGTGAGTATAATAATAAAAGTACGCAAGCCAGATCAAACCTTTATTCAATTTAAAATCAATGTGGCAACAGACCTTGAGAAACTGATGAGGTCATATTGTGAAAGATGTGTAAGTATAAAAATCCAAAATTATTTAGCAATTGTAACTATTAAAATACCAGTCACCGAATTATAGAATGAATATAACTTAATATTTTTTTTTAATTTATTTAAAATTGTTATATTTTAGAACATAGGAAGGTTTGCTGCTGTATTCATTTACCGTGCAAGACGTGTTATTCCGTCGGACACTGCTGCGTCTTTACGTATGCAAGACGGCGACTGTATTTTAGTGTTTCACCGTAAATTAATTAGATTAAAACGAAGGATGAATTGAAGAGATTTTGGATAAAATATATAATAAATACTTTGCATGTCAACATTTTTTTTCTTCCTACTATTAATATTATTATTATTTCCATATTCCTCTAGGGCTCTAGCTTAACAAGAATCTTTTGATTTCATCAATGAGGTTTTTGGTTTATATTATTATTTTAAATGATTCATTTAACTATGTAAATGCTACTATAATTATTGGTATTATTCAAGTTATTTATTTAATTCGATTCTTAATAACTGTTCCATATATTGCATAAATTTGCCTATGTTGAGCAAGGACATGCTTCACACAATTTAAACAAAATCTTCGTTATAGCCTTGATAAATAAATATTTATGTTGTTTAATTCCTAAAATAATATTAAAATAATTTAGAAAAATTAATGCCTTTATTTCAACACTAAGGCTTGAATTCAAGTTTTATACATATATTTTTTCATTATCAAGTTAATGTTATATTGACTTACTTATTGTGAATCAAATTTTAATGTGAAATTGTATCTATTTCAATATGTGGGCTAACTGTGTGAAAATTGTGTTTATGAATAATTATACAAAACCACTTAAAAGAATAGATTGGATTACCTATGTTTAAGATATTTTTTTTTTTTGAGTTTGAGTTTTTGAATATAGATGTCAGATAACTAGTGCATAATCAAAATAAAAAGTTACAAAGACAGGTAAGAAGTTTAAAGCAGATTCATTGAAAATGCATATATCTCACATGCATTGCATTATTGACCGATTAAGTGAAATTTTAATTTAGTAAATAATATTTATGAAAATAATTAATATAACAACTCTAAAAAAAAATGTGAATTTTATAATATAAAAATATTTGTAGGTACCTATAATTAATTATGCAAATGATACCATCTGTGTGCTTTGTACTACTACACATTGTACCCTTCATAATGAATGGTATACAACTCGCATTGTGGTTTGTAATTAATAATTATGCTTTTAATTTTAGACATTCTAAGTTAGATATAACCAAAACTGGGCCATGACTTCACTGTGTGAACAAAATACATTTAAATGGTTTTTTAATTTAATTATTCATTTTTAATGATAATTAAAAAAAAAATTTTTTCGATGTAACTAATTCAAAATAAATCAAAGTTATTTATTATATTAGTTTGGATCGTTGAGTTCTGGAGTGTTCAGAATATTAATATTAATATTTAATATTCTTCTGTAATAGCTACGAACATAAATACCTAGATATTTACATCATTTAAAACTTATCATGTTTTCATCATGGTCCATCTCTGAATGAAGTCCGTTATACTTGCTTAATTTTGCATCAAAATAAATGGCTACAATGTAATGACACTTCAATACATTTTGAACGATGGAATCGAGTGGATAAAAATGTGTACATTACAATCATGCAAAAAAAAAAATTGAATGATTTTTAAAAAAAGAAATCAAATAACATACATAATAATATAACAGATAAATGAAAACAAAAAAACTTGCAAATCATATTTATTTTATGATAGTACACAAAAATATGTTCTGAAAATACTAATTCATTTTTAAGACTTCGGCATTTTAGAGATGTGATATCATTAATAAATGTTAAGTAAAATAAATTTATTCCATCTCACTTATTTAATTACTTTGCGAGAATTTATTTTGACAAATCAACATGTCCATTTGTAACTGGACTATTTAACAAATTTCCATTAAAAATGTTACTAAGTTTGTTTTTTAAAAAGGTCTTAATTATGAATTTATAAATTAAATAAAATCTTGCAAAGTAAATAAATTATTGGCATAGAATAAATTTACTTTAATTTTATTTACTTAACATTTATTCATGTTATCACATAATTATAATTTACACAGAGTTTGACAAAATGTTTCTGTTGGATATAATAAATCAAAACAATTTATTAAAACTTGTTGAATATGAATAATATGAATTCTTTTATTGTATCGAAATTAAATTATTTATTTTAATATTTATTGTTATGTTATTTTATCGTATTTTCATAAATAATTATAGTTGTCATACATACCATACAACCATGAAATGTTACTATCGTTGGTAAAATTGTTATTGATAGGTACTTGAAGGAGCTATATTGGTTTGGTGATATAATTTTTCTATTGACTAATTATGACCTACCTACCTTTATTGTTTTTAAATATTTAGTATTGTTATACATTACGCACTATCTACACATATTTATTGTTTTGCTGTAATTTATAACTCATCACAGTTATCATACATACTATATTCATTAAATGTTAGTATTACTGTTGTTAGTAAAATCATTATTGAGAATTGAAGACTCAATTAGTATAGGACAGTGGTCCCCAAATTTCGACCCAAAGACAGATTTAATCCGGCATTCAGACGAGGAAAAATGTAAAAACTGATAGTAATTAAACGTTCTTATGTTGCATTTTATCATTTTTGTTTATTGGTTTTTATTGATGTTAGAAATTTCGGTAGACGACAGACAATTTTCAGATTCCTTATGTGGCACTTCGAAAATAGGAACTAATGACCCCTGATATAGGATAAACGCTATTGCCTATTGTATTTATATATACTATTATTAAAATAAATACCTAAATTAGATACATGCTAACAATGCTACAAAATGTTATGTAACACCCCAGAGTAAGAAATAGTTTCTTTGGTGGCAAAAAAATATTTTATTTTTAATGATATCATCAAATAATTGTTACAATTTCATTATATGTTCATGAAAAAATTTTATTTCATTGTCTACATAATGTTGTTTGGCCAACAGTGAGATTTTATAAGTATTAAAAATAAAATAATAATTTATTATTATTTTTGTTATTTTTTTAGATTAAAATACAGAGAACATAAGAAAAATATTTTTTTTAATATTTCATAATTATTTCACTAAATTGTTATTTAAACAACTTAAAAATAAAATGTTCATACATTCTAAAATGGTAAGGACGTGTCACTATATATTTATGTATTTATTTATTTTGGTGTTAATAATATATTGTAATAGACATAATATGTGCACCGTGGTTTTTACATTATTTTGTTCTATTTTATTGATTCTTAACGCTCTTCTTAATAACTACAGCATTCTTAATAATATAATAGTGTATGCTTATAAGTGATACTTGAATTGCTAGCTACATAAATTTATAATAGACTAGGTCATCATTAAAATTAAAAATAATGTGTTTAAAAATACAAAAAGTTGTGCCTTCAAATTTAACACTAAAATAAGTGTTGTGCTCCTCATTTGGTATTTTGTCACTGATACATCTTTTCAGAGGTTAGGTTTTTAATTGTTTGTAGTAAACATTTAAAAACGTAATTAATAAGTATCTATAATGTAAAGTAAAGAACAAAAACAATAATAATAAAAATTGTTATTTGCTGACAACTACATAACAAATTATGTGTTTTTGGGCTTTGCTTAATGTTTATGTTGTTTTATGTATGGAGATTACCTGCACAAATATAATACACAATTATAATACCAATTTTCTGTTATTATACTACTTTAATAGCAACTTATTATTATAATTAACTTTTGTGAACCACAAATTGTAATATTACAACATTGAATCAAACATCCACAGCTTGAATAGTCTTAGTTTTAGGGACATCTCTGAATTTGGCAAGTGAAATGAAAATCCTTAGTGGGGTCTCTATTCCAATCGTATCAAATATTTATTCATTAGTTTGATGGAGTCCGGAAATAATTAACAAAATTGTTTTAGTAATTTATATTAGGTGTAGACAGGGTAATGAAAATGAAAGGATAAAAATAAATTATTACCAAGTATAACTCAACATATTGTTAATGCGTAGAACACTTTTTTTCCATTTTATCCTTTGTAACTATATATATTGAGAAGTTTCTTTTTGAAAAGGTATCACATTACAACACACCCAGTACTCGGTAAAGAATCCTTTGCATACCTCTTCAGTTCCAAAGTCTGTAATATAATTCAATTTTAATAAAAAAAATTGTTAATTTAAACATGATATTAACATCAGAGCATCCAATCGTTCTTCTGCCATTGTACTTCTTAATTTACTTTTAATAAGTTTTAATTTTGAGAAGGCTCGTTCTGGAGATGAGCTTGAAGCAGGTAACGTTAGTCCAATGCTTAGAGCTGTATAAATTGCTGGAAACACGGCAATCTAATGCAATCACACAATGACACAACGACACTCTACGAATAGACCAGTTCGCGTTACCTGTAATATTATGTGCACTGCTCCTTCTTCTCTTAATAAGATGTGGCAGCCGCCACACCTAACATATAGGTTCGACGCCACTGCCTGGTCAATAACAATTTTATCATCCAAACCAATAAAGTTTAAAAATGTATACTAAAAATAGTCTTAATCTTCTCCTCAAAGTAATTATTATAACAATAACATATTATACAATGTATTAACCAGTTTATTATTCGTTAAGATTGCCCCCATAACAAGTTAACAAAATAGTATCTTACAAATTGCCGATAGATTCCTAGATATAATATATACTTATACCAGAATAATAGTTTATAAAAATCCCCTATTCATGCATTGGAAATGGAAATCACCACAGATAAATGATATACACACAGACAAAACAAAATAAGAAATTATTCAATTCCAGACATTGAAATGCAAAAAAAATCCAAGAAACTCTAAAATGATAGATTTAACAATTGTAATTGATGAAAATGAACA